GAGAGAGAGAGAGAGAGAGAGAGAGAGAGAGAGAGAGAGAGAGAGAATTCCATGGATTCCTTCATGCAAGCGACTTTAGAGAGAAAGAGTAAATTCCATGGGCTCCATGGAAGCGAGTTAAGAGAGATAAAGAGACCCCATAACCCACCTGGACACATCTTCCCAAAGCGGCCCTTTGAGCGTCGCATCTCTAAAAGCCGCATCCATATCCGACCTTATTTTCAAGAGAGCCAGCGTCTCTTGTCTCGGCCACCGATTCCCACCAACACCTCCGCTCTCTCTCTCTTCAACTCCAAACCCTTCTTCTTCTCCATACCCCCCTGAAACCTGACCCACCAGCTCCTCCAGCCCGCTCCCACTTCTCCCTTTCTCCCGTATATTCACAGGCGACGCAATTTCCGCCATCGATTCCCCCGCCTTTTGCTTCAAAGCCTGCTCTATATTCCCCGTCATACTTCCGGCCACCCCACCGCCGGAAATCGCCATCATGTGGCCGGAAAAATCAGGAGGCCTGAGCTCGAACTGAGACCCACCTTGTTGCATTTTTTTTTTTTTCCTTTCCCCGTAAATCTTAGTTTTGGGGTGGTCGATTTTAGAGAGAGAAAAGGTGGGGTGGGGTTAAAAGGGAGAGAGAAGTGTGGTGATGACCTGAAATAGAGATTTCGCCGGAAAATTTAGACGGAATATGTGAATTTGGCCGGAAATTTTGAGATTCAGGGGTAGATGAAAAAGGTGAATTTTTTAGGGAGAGACGGGAACAAAGAGGTAGTGGAATACGACGATGAGGATAATAATACGGAGGCTTGGGATTGGAGCTAATAATAGTTAACAATAAAATGCATTATTTAAATTCCAACCCTTATTTTTTGTTTTAGCACCCAAAACATGGGTGGAAATACTGATAAGACGAACTATGTGTTTGGCATTTGGTTTGGAGCTGAGCCGAGTCGAGCCGGCTTGGTTGGATCGGAGCCGTTGAAGAATAGATCGATAGAATAACAGAGGGAGGTGGGCCAGGTAGCAGTTAATGAGGAGTTGTGGGACCCCCCTACTGTAAGTATGTCGACTTGTCGAGTAGGGAATGGGTGGATCGGCTCGGCTTGGCTTGGGGTATGACCGGCGCTGTCAAACCGGCTTGGCTTGGTTGAGCTGAGGGGTTCACCGGGTAAATGGATTTAAACGACTCCAGTATGAAAAATAATTTATTCCATTTAATGTAGCAAAAAAAATTATTTTGACATTATTTCTCTTTTTTATTTAAGGAAAAGCTTTGAGGTTGCCACCTTGTATTATTGAAGTAAGGTGCACCACAAAAATCCTTTAGAAGAGACTGTTTCGATATTGGAGAACCCTCCAAATGATCATCTCAACCTTGAAATATGTGGATATGAATACATTTTTTTTTCAAGTAGTACATATTGTAATATGTTATCTGGACTGTCAATTTTCAAGATTTTGAAGTGTTCATAGATTTTGCTTGATTTGTATGATTTTTAAATTTTTTTAATTTCATAATTAGGTATAAAAATAGATTTTAAAGCCATCATAAATTTTTCGACACCCAAATGAATTTAAAGGTGTGCTTACTTCTACTATAGAAAGAAACCACATTACACATAGCTGTATTAAATCTCGGGTCATTTGAGGATTAGACCTAGGCTTTACAAGAAAAGAGTAAAACAAATTTTTGAAACTCTACATCCATTGGAAAATGTAGTTTTGATGTTGGAAACCTATAACCTAAAAACCTATATTACCCATTATGAATTTGAAGTTATGGTATAATGTGAATACTTGAAAATTGAATGTTTCAATAATAAATCACAAGAATCTTTGTTCGCTTGAAATTGACTTTTTATTAGATCCAAAATTGTCAAGGTTGAGACAATCAATTTGATAGCTTTTATTTGGCACAGCCAAAATTCTCGATAATATCTAAGCCGCATGGGCTCAACATTCTTTTAGAATGTAAGGCATAGGTTTTATGAAAACAAAGTAAAACCTCACTACTCCACGCATAAAAAATCTTGATGATAACTCTAAAATCAATTTTCAATATCGACTATGGAATTTGAAACCAAAAAAACGATACAGATCTTGCAGGTTCTTGACTACATATTTTATAAAAAAATAGACAGTCTAGATAATAAGTTATAATATAAATTATTTTTAGGGTCGAAAATCTTTTTTTTTTTTATACAACCGTAATGGTCAGGGCATAATCGATTTGACGGTTTTTCAACACCAGATCTACCATTTTCGATAAATTTTGAGGTGATCTTTTTGAATTATTAAAAAAAAATAAGGAGAGATCTTTTTTAAAGCAAATAGAAAATAAAAGCCAAGCTCAGTGGAGCCGAGTCTCAAGTTCACAACTTCTAAATACAAAAGGCCGGCTCGTGGAGGGGAGAAGCCAGTTGTCAAGTACAAGAACTACTTTCCAATTCTACCCTCATCGAAACCCAAATATTTCAACTCGCACATTACAGGCCAAAATGGCCCGCTTGGCGGTGAACAAGGGTACGGCTGTCATTTTCGGGAAAATCGACGGGGTATTCGTCGTGGAACGGAAAAAACGAAGGCTTTCTTCTCTACGATTTGACGGCGGGTAAACGAGAGAAAGAATCGGGTGCGCTGTTAAAGTTGACGGAGGTTGGTGTGTTGTTTTTTAATGGGATGGGGGGTGATCATGTGGCTCATACGGCGCTCGTCGCTTTCCTCACTTATCTGACCTCCAAGTTAGGCGCCCTTTATTAAAAATAAAAATTCATTTACCTTTAAATTTTTATTATAAATTAATAAATTAAAAGGAAAGCAAAGTGGAGAGAGGGACAAGATGTTTGTGTCCATAACAAGTAATTGGATGCCATGTTTGTCCTTATCATTGATACGAGTTTACATGGTGTCTTGAAAATTTGGTAATTGTTTTAGGGATGTGGTTTTTATAAGGTCTAGGCCCTATGGTCAGGTGCGGCAATGGATCCAGACCCGACCTTGAACTCAAGGGGTTCACCTGATCCAGGTCTGGGTCTGGGTCTGATAATGTGTTTTGAGTTTTAATATAGTTCAATACAGTTAAATGCATAGTTATTTTAATTTTGGAAAAAGTTTATATAAGGATGCAACTTTATAATATGGATGCACATCAAAAATCCATCAGAAAAGGTAGCTTTAATGTCGAAAAACCCTTTAATTGATCATTTCGACATCGAGATGTATGACCATGAAAAATAAAAAGATTTTAAGTCTAAAAAATAATGCATTTTACCACATATTGTCTACATCATCCATTTTCAAGATTTTCATATGGTTATAGATCTACTTGATTTTAATCAATTTTTAAATTTAAAATTTTATAATTAAATGTAAAAATAGATTTTGAGATACTCCCAAAAACATTTTACATCAAAATTATATATCATGATAAAATTTGAAGGTGCACCTTACCTCTACAGCTACGGATGCATCTGTATGCCAATTACACCCTTTAATTTTTGGATTGGGTCTGGGTCCCAATTATTTTTTTCGAGTCTAGTTCCATATCATTTTTTTGGGATTTGAGTACGGCCGGACCCAGACTTGATCCGATCCATTGCCACCCCTACTTATGAAAAAAAGAAAAAGCCTCATCTCAAAATCACGTCAGACAAATACTTCAAGCATGGAAGACCTCTACGGTGGCTCTAAAATTTATTTCCCCCATTGACAATAAAATTTGTAGCTCATAAATTGGTATAATCTCATGGAATTGTACACACTTGAAAATGGACGGTGAAAATAATATACGCTACTTTTAGGTCTTAAAATGTAAATTTTTTTCACATCCATAATGATCAAGGTGCATGTACCATGCTCCATGAGAGCATGCTGTATATTACTCTCTCTTTTCTTTTCTTTTTTTTACAACTTACTTTATTTCATAAATCGTGTAAATTAATTTAATGCACTCAAACATGAATGTACTCCTCGGAGAGCATGTTGTATATAACTCCCCTGGGGGATTGTTTATTTTCTTTCTAAAATTGAGCATCTATTAAGAATCAATAAAATATTATTTTTCGTAAAACACCTAGATCAATTGTTAGACAATTAGGATTGATTTCTAAAAATTTAGACGATTTTTCTGCAATATTGAAATGTTATTTTTCAGGCACATACAAAATGGTTTGAATTTTTTTTGTTTTGGATGTGGTAAAAAATATTTTATCGATATTTGACCAAATAAGAAGCCATGGTGTGGAGCATGCAGCTTTCTCAAATGTCGGTGATGCAGTCCTAACATTCTTCTAAATACTTTTTTTTTTTCAAACAAACAATTGATCCAACATTATTTATAATGGAAGGGAGAAAAAATAATAATCAAAAAAATAAAATTCAAAAAACCCAATGCATCTCTCTCTGTCACGTCTACAGGGCAATGCTTAGACTCCACACCGCCACGGTCGATAGTAATCAGCAAGGACGAGAAAAAGGCATTGAAAGTAACAATGAACAATTAAAAAAAAAAAAAAAAGGAAAAAAAGAAAAAAAAGAAGAGAGAGACAAGGAAAAGGCTTTCATCTTTTCATCTGTTTGAAAAGGAAAGCATAGATTGCGCAAGTTTCATGATACAGCATATGCACTTCAGCTGCACTTCCTCCCTGATAAAGGTGGGGACAAGTGTTTAGTTTCCCATAATGATCGTTAAATCTGGTTGTGACGGATCTCCATCATAGGGAAGGGACCCGACAGTTCCCATGTTCTATAGTGTACCGTACACCACCAGGGGGAATGTCATTTTCGTCTTGGTGAGGTCCATTAGTGGGAAACCACAAACTTTATTACCTCCAACTACATATCATAACCCTATCTGGACTATTGAATACGGGGGGTATTACTATATGGATGACGATGGCGTTTCTATAAGGCCTAGGCTTTATGAAAATAAAATAAAAGTAAAATCTCATTCAAAAAATCCTCATCTGGAAAACAATTTTGTTAACACAAGTCTCTATTATGACTCTAAAATCAATTTTCAATACCGAAAATAAAATTTGAAACTCAAAAAAAAGTATAGATCTTGTAGATCTGCGAAGACTTGTTTTTAAAAAAAAATAAATGGTCTAGATAATTTGTTACAATATATACTCCTTTATAATATCTAGATCTGCGAAGATTTGTTTTTAAGAAAAAATAGATGGTCTAGATAATTTGTTACAATATATACTCCTTTATAATATGTTACATTCAAGCCGAGATGATCAATGTTACGGTTTTCTAATACTAGAATTGTAATTTGTGTTGAGTTATAAGGTGTGGCTTTACTTATTTTGATAGGGCTGCAACCCTATCAAAGTATTTTTCTTAATATATTGATATAAGGAGGCCACAAACATCATCGATCGTTAGGTGTGAAATTAAGCAGTTGAGGATGTATCATTAATTGGGCACAAAATTTCAAATAAAATTTTTCGAATGTTGTGATATACTTCAATCTATTGGATTTCACGTCCATGATCATGTGCTCTTTGTATTCAAAATAAATAGCCTTATACTAAGATAAATACTCTATAAAGTTCGAGATTAACAAACTAGTTATCATAGTTAGTGTAAATATTGAATAATAGTTAACCTAATCATTACAAGATCGTTAAGGCTCATATTTTGTTAGTATTCATAATCAAATTATATTACCCCACAATAAGGTTAATTAATTTCGATTATAACCATGAAATATTAGTATAATGTGGAGATAGTCATATTTCTCTCTAAAATAACACTTAAAAAAGGCCTAATTCCAGTAAAAAAATT